CTGCTTTGCGCTTCGGCCTGGCCGAAGGGTGAACACATGGTTGTTGGACGTTGAGGTGCCATTATCATGGGCTTGTGTTCGTTGGATTTTGAATTTGTTTCTTTACGCTGGAGGCCGATGTAGTCCCCCAGGCCTTCTTCTGGCCGATGAAGACATGGCCGACGGAGGTACCACTTGGTAGTCCTTGCTTTTTGTTGCTTTCTGGATGATTTCATGTATGTGGAGGCCGATGTAGTCCCCCAGTCCCCCACTCCTTGAGGCTCATGTAGTGAGGTGAAGAGGAGTAGAGCAATACACGTCTTCAATAGGGGGCCGAGGGTCGACACATTTTGATCCACAATGGGGCGGTGCCTCGTTAAAAACCTCATTAGGAAAAACCCTGTGGGAAAAAATCCTAATGAGGGAAAAAGAGCACACCGGATCCCCCAAAATGAACTCCAAGGGGTGAACCCTTCGGCCTAGGTGTGGAGCTGAAGCGGTGTACGTCTGATGAGGGGACGCCCACCTGGAGGTGAGGACGACGGCGCTGATGAGCCGGTCCGAATATGAGGACGAGGCGATGGATGCTTGTCTGAATGTGAGGACGACAATTGTAATGATCCATGCGTCATATGAAGGCAACAGTCGTTGTCCAGGAAGGGAATTGCGAGCCCGGTCGCTATAACAGTACCTCGGCGTTGGGAGCCGGTCTCGAGATATGAGGACGGCGGCACTGGGGGGCCGGTCCGAAATCCATGCAACGGTCGCCATCCAGTAAAGGAATGGCTAAGACCGGTCTTAAGATAGAGCATCACACCATGGCCGAGGGGCTGGTCGTGATGTGAAGACGACGGCGATGAGGAGCCGGTCCTACAATCCATGCAACGGTCATCATCCGGTAAAGGAATGACTAAGACCGGTCTCGAGATAAATAATCACGTCGAGGCCGAGGGGGTCGATCGTGATATGAGGACGACGACGATGAGGAGTCGGTCCAAATAATGACGACGAGGCGATGGTGAAGCCGATCGTCATATAGAGGCGATGGTCACCATCCGGGAAGGGATGGCGAGCCCGATCGCTGGCTCAAGACTCGCGGCGCTGAGGAAGCCGGTCTTGATATAGATGATCACGCCGAGGCCGAGGGGCCGGTCGTGATGTGAGGACAACGGCGATGAGGAGCCGGTCCTATAATATGATGACGAGGCGCTGATGAAGCTGATCATCATATAAAGGCGATGGTCACCATCCAGGAAGGGATGATGAGCCCGATCGCTGGCTCAAGACTCGCGGCGCTGAGGAAGCCAGTCTTGAGATAGATGATCATGCCGAGGCCGAGGGGCCGGTCGTGATGTGAGGACAACGGCGATGAGGAGCCGGTCCTATAATATGATGACGAGGCGCTGATGAAGCTGATCGTCATATAAAGGCGATGGTCACCATCCAGGAAGGGATGGTGAGCCCGATCGCTGGCTCAAGACGCTCGGCGCTGAGGAGGCCGGTCTTGAGATGAAGGATCACGTTGAGACCGAGGGGTCTGCCGTGATCTAAGGACGACGGCGCTGATGAAGCCGGTCCAAATAAATGATGACGAAGGCGTTGATGGAGCCATTCGTTATGCAAGCTCGAGGCTCTCGGTATTGAAGAAGCCGACCTTGAGATGAAGGATCACGTTGAGACCGAGGGGTCGGCCGTGATTTGAGGACGACGGCGTTGATGAAGCCGCTCCTCATATGAAGGCGAGGGTCGCCATCCAGGAAGGGAATGGCGAGCCCGCTCGCAAGCTCAAGACGCTCGGCGCTGAGGAGGCCGGTCTTGAAATGAAGGATCATGTTGAGACCGGGGGGTCTGCCATGATCTGAGGACGACGACGCTGATGAAGCCGCTCCTCGTATGAAGGCGAGGGTCGCCATCCAGGAAGGGAATGGCGAGCCCGCTCGCAAGCTCAAGACGTTCGGCGTTAGGGAGGCCGATCTTGAGATGAAGGACAAGGCGTTGGATGCCTGTCCAGAGTTGAGGACGATGACGCTGATGAAGCGCGTCCTTGGATGATGACGGCAGTGATGGGGCCGTTCGTGTCATGGAGGCGAGGGTCGCCATCTAGGAAGGGAGTGGCAAGCACCGTTTGAATGTAAGCTCATTTTAGAGTTCGGGTCGTTGATTGTTCCAGCGATGCATTTGGACTGAAGAGGTGAAGCCTCTAATGAAAATATCATTGACATCTACCTTCGGCCAGTGGATACAATAAATGTGGCGTAAGTTCTACCTGCATATGCTCCTCCTCATTCAGACCCTAAAGTTCAAGAAAGATTGGACAATCTGGTTTCAATGTGGGTGCCTGTTTACAAAAAACCAAGGTGATAAGTTCCACTTGTTGCATGCATATATCAGTGTCTTTATTCATGTATTACTGTGAGAATTTGTAGTCCCTGAATCATGTTGACATAATTGCCTCTACACCTAAATGATGTTTAGATTGTTCCCTAACTGATGGGGTAATTAGGGGGCAGTTTAGAAGTTGACTAGATGTATGTTGTGTATGTTACTCCATCCCCATTACCATTACCATGTAACAAGTCCATCACTTCCCTCACTGTTGTAGTGTCAGCAGAAAGGGAGATGGGTAGTTCCCCATTAGCATGTACCATATCCTTTTCAATGTGAGGTAATCTGTAGTTGTTGTTACCTTTAGCAGTTAAAATCTCCTTCATACACATTTGCAATGATAGCCAAACCTTGTTCAAAGTATAGGGACTCAAGTCCCCAAATGCTTTGGTCACCCCTGCCACTAACTCTAAAACTGTAGTACTTGGTGTTGCTTGTTGTAGGGACCGAATTGATCTAAAAAAACCTAGGTCTAGAACATTTAGAACAGGACTATTGGGAGGTTGACATGATAGTTTGATGTTAAATCCTTCACTAGTACCCTCTTTCATGAACTCACTGTCATTAGGCTGTACATGTGGTTTGACATTATCTTGTTGGATGTAAATATCTCCAGATGCATCAAGTGGCCTGGCCACTTGGCTTTGATGGCAGGGAGCACTTGTCTGAGTATACACTTTTCGTGACATTCTCAATTGCCTTTTCCTTTATTGTGCCAACTGTTCTGTTTTTGCTATTCCCATCAAATAAGACTTCTGAAAATATTGATATAGCCACAGCACACAAAAACATTACTTTTGTGATGTATCTCTTGGACTTGCATGTTCTGTGTGGCTCTTGTTCATCTGGAGTGAGATAGTACCTCTGTGAGGGTTTAGTAATGTAAAACCACATCTCATCCACATAGTTGAACATGGGGTTCAAATAGTGGATGAGTTGTGAGTGAGTGTGGGACAATGTGTGAAATGACCCATTCAAGCCTCTTAGTCATATTTGACTAAGTCAAATAGGATTTGATAGAATTTGTGTGTACTATAATCTTACCTTGTCGTATGAGTCTGTGCACATTTGTTTTGGGACAGCCCATAACAGATGCCAGACTTCTTATGGTCTGCCTTTTGTGAAGATCTATTTCCTTAAAGTTAAGTGTAGGTAGTGGTAAATATTTCCTACCACTTTTTGCAGCAAACTGTTTGTCAACATTTATAGGTACACCATCCCTTTGTGATTTCCTTACTAGTCCCCAAATACTTATGATGTACCTTACTGACACTTGATGTTCTTCAGCTAATGCAGATTTCAGTCCTTTGGGTCAACTTACCACCATCTGTGGAATTAGTGAGAAGAGCTTGCAAGATCCTCTGTTTTGCTTCGTTCAAGAGCCTTTTTTGTGTTGTTTCAAGATTTTCATAAACTTCCATGTTGTATTTGTGATGATGTACAACTATCTCTTGCAATATGCGTAAGTTTATATAGAGCGTTGAGATATTTTAAGTGTTTAAAAATTTTAAGTTGGAGGGAATGCTCAAAAGTCCCGCCAGAAGACAAATAATCCCAAAAAAATCAACCTGTTTTTACTGTACACGGCAGATTGCCCCATCCCTCTTTATTTCCCCTAACCCTGTGCGGTACTTAAAAAAGGGCAAAGGTGGAAAGTCAAGGGAAAACAGTAACTTTTCTAAATCAATGTGCCCAGTCAAAACGGAAGTAAATTCAGGGACAAAGAGAGTACATAAAAGGATTTAGCACAAGAATGTGGAAGTTCAATCATGAGAGAGTAACACCTCATCTAGATTGTATTTTAGAGGGTAACAAGGAGGGAATTAAATATGGATGAAGGATATCTGAGTATAATAATGGTGAGACATTTGAAATGAGATTTCAAGAAAATATTGGTCACACATGTCAACTCAAAAAATGTGTTTGCATGTTAATAGTTATTCTAAAACTAATCTCTATTTTACTTGACTTTGTAAATGAATAAGACAGCCTTGAAGTAGGAAAGAGTACAGTGGCTTTAAGCGTAAAAAATAACTCTATTTTGCGTGTTTGATGGTCAGTGATTCACACTACTTTTGCGGAGGTGACCGTTTGAGAATCTGATCGTATGACGTTTTTTGAGTCTAAATGAAGTCTATTGGAAAAATATTGTTTGAGTTTTGAACTTTTGACCGATTGTAACTGCAAACGTTTGTTCGCTTTAATATAGTTTAGCGGTTTCCTTAAAAAAACAGCATTTAAAGTTTTAAAAAATAAACATACAAAAAGGATTTTAAATATTATAATTTGCTTGAAACAATCAAAATATAGCAGGTAAAATGACACTCCCCTAGCTATGGGTGCTTTTCAGCCGTGGAGGTGGAGCCAAGCATAGCTATTTTAGTTTGACACCTTCACCATTGATAAATTTCAAAACATTTCAATTTGGCTTGTGGGTTTGAAAATGTGAATGAGAATAAGAACATGGAATATCTTTTTCTAAAAAAAGAAAGAAAATAAAAAACGTACATTCATTTTTAATTTATCAGTCCAGCCAAGTGGCGAGGCCGTTACCGGGAAAGTTGTACTGATGCGACGCGCTCACACTCGAGCGTTGCACTTAAATACCGACTTCTCCGACCCTTTCGTTCCGATTCTCAAGCCTCTCACGTCCATTTCTCTCTTTCATCTCTCTATACACTCACTGTACCGGAGATTCGCCGGCGCCGTCCGCTTCTTCCTCCGATGGAAGTCCAAACTCACCCTCCAGCGACCTTCAGTTCCGACTCCGGCCCTCGCAACACCTGCTCCTCCTACGTCGATCCACCGAAGCTCTGCGCCTCCGGCTTCCGGGGCTCCGCCGATGGTTTCGGACGCAGCAGTTTCGACGACGGAGGTAAGGAATGCGGTGTCGTCGGAGACAAAGTTAGCGACTACAGTCCGTCTCCCTTGTCCGTTTTGTGTCCTGAAGCTGCTTTCTACGCTGACAATGGAGAGGACGTTAGAGGCTTAGCCTCCCTCGAAGAGGCGGGGACGGTGGACAAACTGCAGAGATGTACGTCCAACGCCGCCATGAAGGTGCAGAAGGTGTACCGGAGCTACCGTACCCGGCGCATGTTAGCCGACTCTGCTGTGGTTGCTGAAGAGCTCTGGTGAACCTAACTAAATTTATTTTATAGCTAGAGTAGTCCTTTTTAATAAAACTCAAATATAGGAACGTCTGAATTGCCAAAAACGTCTGACAGTTAAACGTAATCTCTGTTTTCTGATAACATTTTCTCTATTTATTCTGGCTTGAAGGTGGCAAGCTCTTGATTATGCTCGATTAAATCACAGTACAATTTCATTCTTCAACTTCTTGAAGCCAGAAACAACCACTTCTCGCTGGAACCGAGTTCGCTTGAATGCTTCAAAGGTGGATTAAATTCTGTATTTTACTATTACGAAGTGGACAAGTGGTATATTATCATTATACTCCGTATAATAGATGGAGTGATTCACTCGTGTTTGAATTAGCTGTACGTTAACAGCAAGAGTCGTTTTATACGGAGTATATGTTAAGTCAATGTCTCTTTTTATCTGCAACTACGGGTGAAAACTGAAAACCTGAATATAATAAGCTTAAATGATATGGCCAGGTGGGTAAGGGTCTGTCTAAACATGAGAAGGCTCAGAAATTGGCATTTCAACATTGGATTGAAGCGGTAAAGTTCATAACTAACTTATCTGGTTGCTTTGTTTTTCAATATACAAATTGCACTATGCTCTACTTCACTACCATGCCTGATTTGATGGTGTATTCAAATTCTAGATTGACCCACGCCATCGTTATGGGCATAATTTACATTTCTATTACGAGGAGTGGTGCACGTCTGATTCGGGTCAGCCATTTTTCTTTTGGTAAGTATTTTTATCTTCTGTTTTTACTGAGGATTTGAGGCTCTTGGTATATATTCTACATAGATAGATCATTAGAAAGAAGGCCACATTCTTTTGGCCCGGAGAAGTTCGATTAGTTATCCATGAAGTAGCTATATATATTTAATGATTTCTTAAAACATACACCGTTCTGCTGGTGCAGGTTGGATCTTGGAGATGGTAGAAAAGTTGAGCTGAAGAAATGCCCAAGGTCAAAGCTCCAGCAACAGTGCATTAAATACCTTGGACCAGTAAGTCATATTAAGTTGAAATTTCTTGTTTTGGTTGGCCTTTTGAATAGTGGTTCCATTTTCTTGCATTTATTCGCATCCTTAATAATGGAGATTGCATTAAGTTATTTGATGATATGCTTGACCCCCTATTCATTGGTGTGGGTATGTATGTCCTCAGTGTATAGCCGGCCGGCCCCTAATAACCTTTCTCTTTCTTTCATTCTATCCAACCCGTGTCTCCAATCAGCAAGAGAGGGATCATTATGAATATGTAGTGGTTGATGGGAAAATCGTGAGCCAAAAAACTGGAAAGCTTCTTGATACCAACAAAAGTTTACCGGGGGTCAAATGGATTTTCGTGATGAGCACCTCCAAAAAGCTTTATGCTGGCGAGGTAAGGACAACAATAGACTTTTTTTAGGATAATGATGCTTTAACTGTTCCGCTAAATTCTTATTCTTTGAAATGTTTATGCTTATAATGCTTTCAGAAAAAGAAGGGAATATTTCACCATTCCAGTTTTCTAGCTGGTGGGGCAACTTTAGCTGCTGGTAGACTTGTGGTAGAAGATGGAACACCTAAGGTTGGTTGATACCTGATCTCGTTTTGTACTTCATTTATTTATGACTTGATAGTTGGTTGGTGGAGATAATTAAGGACTTTCCTCTTTTGAGTTATATCGGAAAAGAAAGATGTGCTCTTTATGCCTCCATCTAAATCATTTTTGCACACATTATCTTTTCAGTCGTATAATCTATTTACTTTTGATAACTTTATGCTATTCTATCCTTTCTATGTAGTATTATGTACTAGTATTTCCCTTTATATATTACCCCTGCTTATAAACCTGAATTTATTCTAAAACCCTACATAATTCTCACTATATTCACACTTCTTTCAGTCTATTTCACCCTACAGTGGACACTATCGGCCAAGTGATGACAGTCTCAACACCTTTCTGTCATTTCTCAAGGAGCACGGAGTCAACCTTGATGAGGTTCAGGTAATAGATTTTATACCACTTTATGTACATATTCACTTAAAAACTGGAATTATATTGTTGGCTTCAGCATGCAGCTGAAGCAAGAAGCCATAGGGATGACCAGTTCACCACGTAAATATGATACGTTGTGAATACTGGATATCTCTAAAAAGGGCCACTATATGTTACCCTACAACTATCACTTCATTGTGCTTGCAACATGAGCGGATAATATTATACTCTCCCCATTCCAAATTAATTTGCAAATTTGATTTTTTTAGGTCAAAAAGTTTCATTTTAATCACTTAATTAGGATATCAATTCTTAATTAAATTTTATTTGGATTTTACGACTTTATAAAGATTTTGATGTAGTTTAATTATGATGAGGTATGTAACTTGTTTGTGTGGTAACCTATTCTAATCTTCTGCCAATCAAATATAAAAACAAAAACTCATAGATAAGATAAGATGATCAGTTACCTAGACATTGTTAAACAGATTCTCGGGTGCTCTTTCAACTGATTTCTATATTTTGTGTCATCATCAGATAAAGAAGGCCGGTGAAGAACTGTGTATCTCTACAGACTCCCCATTCGGAATTCCAGTTTATTGTGATTCTCCACTGCCATATACCCGTGAACAAAATGAGGAGAAGAAAGATTGGTTAGCAGAATTATCGGCCAAACTGCCCCCACCAGCACCAGCACCAACTCTATCACCAGCACCTATCCTTGCACCTGCACCACCTAGCAACAACTATAGAAGGACATTGTCCGGTGGACTCCAGAGCCAAAAGTCAGAGGTGCCAAAGACTGCAATCCTGCAAAGGATCAACTCCAAGAATGCATCCAGTTCTTACCAACTGGGGAAACAACTCTCCAGAACATGGTCAACCGGTGCGGGCCCCAGGATTGGCTGTGTTGCTGACTACCCGGTTGAGTTGAGGCTGCAAGCCTTGGAGCTCACTAATCTCTCACCCCCCACACCTCCTCCATGCCTCCAAGACTTCTTTTCGCCGGCAACTCGTTCTTCATCAGTTCCTGTCTCATCTTTACTATCTTAATTAACAAACACTCATCCATCTGTCTATCTATCTATCTATCCTCCCATAGCTATGTATACGAAGTATGTGTTAAGTTGTAGTAGTTTCCTTGTGTTTGTTGTACTTGTGCCTCCATGCTCCTGGGCGGTGGAGTATATATGTGATAGTTTTCTGCAGTACGTATGGACTCTTGACTCGAAAAAAGACCATCTTTTTCTTATAATTAAGGCTATTGATGTTATTATTACATGTAGCTCCAAAGATAAATGGGTCGTGTTTAATAAACCTTCGCAATGCACGATTAGTAAGGGAACTTTATTCCGAATTTTGAATGATGAGATGAGAGGTTAGCCTTGATCTCTACATCTAAATCTCAAAGTAGCTCTCTGTTTTTCTAGCTTAAATATTAATGAGGTGAGCTAAATGTGATAAATGAAACAAATTACACCAAAAGAAGTTACTCTGAAACTTTAGCCCATTATAGCCTATACCTAAACCTTTCTTTTTTTTTGATAATCCAAGTGTCAGGTTTACGCTCTCATAATCATGGAGTCTATGAACTAGAGGTGGACCCGGGCCGGGCTTGGACGGGCATTTTTTGTAGAATCATGGGCCTGGAATCGGCCCGGGGTGACACCGGGTCCGGTCCGGGTCGGGCCTACCCGGCCGGGTTGTGGGCCGGTTCGGACCGGGCCCGGGCTATTTAATTTTTTTTTAATTCAGATTAGTTGGACATAAAAAATTTAAACTGTATTAATTTGAAATATGTAGTACAATTGGAAATTGAGCAAAAATTACAACATGAAATACACTTTTTAATAATTAAGAATCAATCAGAATTTCCGCCATCTTCAGTTGTTTCTTCCAAAAAGTGGCGGGTGGGTTCAATGCTAATTTCTTGAGTTCTACGTTTGGCCTTCAACCAATCGTGGAAGCAAACAAGCGTCTCAAGAGAGTTTGCATTCAATCTCGTTCTATAATCCGTTAGGACGTTGCCGGTCGCACTAAACTCTTGTTCCACAGCAGCTGTTGATACGGGCATTGCTAGCACTTGCTTAGCCATCTTTGATAAGATCAGGAACGTTCTCTCTTTTTCCTTCCACCACTGAAGAACGTCAAAGTCATCTCCTTCTTCATACTCAACGGGAAATGTTAGATACAAAAAAAGCTCGTTGATGGAGCTTTGTTCATTATTAACCAGAGTTGATTTACTTTTTTTCATAAGATTGCCAAATGCAGATTTCAAAATTGATTTTCCTTTAGATGAAGAAGATGTTCGTGGCGAGGGAGGGGTGCATTACCATATTGTGCATGAAACTCATTAAATAATTGATATAATAAATTACTAACCTCTTGAAATTGTTGTTTCGGGTCTATAGCCTTGTCGTCGTACATAGGCAATGGACCAAAAAAAGAAGCATAATAGTAATCTAAACATTGCTCCAAAGCAGCAAGTCTAAAACGAGGATCAAGAATAAATGCAATACTATATATAGGCAGAATATAGGAATAATATTTTAAAAACTTTTGTTTCATGAAGTCACAAAAATAACTAACGTAAGCGGAATCAGCAAATTCATAAAAAGCGCCGGCGAGATTAATAGCTTCAACAAAAAATTAGTTTGCGGTAGGTTTATAAACATGACTAAAAGTTTGAGTTGCATTATTAAAATACACCAAAACATTCAAAACTTTTTCACAAGTGTCGATGTCGACCGGGTTTATAATATAGTTAGCATATTCTTTTAAAAAAGAAGGAAAATGGTTTTTAAATCTAATAAGCACCTTAATTAAGTTATAAGTACTATTCCAACAAATAGACAAATCTTTAGGAAAAGCACAATATTTGACACGTCTTTCTTACAAATAACTTCTCCATTGCATCTTAAGTTGAGAACTAGCCCAAATAAGTTTAATCCCCCCTTCACCACCTCCATAGCATCTCCCAACGCCGCTAGGCCGTCCTTTACACATAAATTTAAAATATGACATGCACAACGTTGATGAAAAAACCTACCCATCAAAGAATATGAACCACACAGTTCACGCAATCTAGGAATAGCAGCAGTATTATTAGTAGCATTATCAAAACCAATTGCAAACACCTTATTAATCAAATTATACTCAATTAAAATACGCTCAATGAGAATATAAATATTATCACCGGTGTGTCTATCATTAAATTCACGAAAAGCAAGAACACGTTTATGCATACACCAATCATCATCAATATAATGTGCAGTCAAACCCAAATAATATAAATGATGATGAGTATTCTCCCATATATCACTACATATACTAACACGTCCATCAAAGTTGCAAAAAACGTTTGTAATTTTTGCTTTTCCAAAACATATTGTCTTATAACTTCTTTTTAATTGTTTTGCGACTATTGTTTCGAAATTGGGGATTTAAAGAACCTTGAGCATATTCTTTTAAAGCAAGACTTTCAGAAAAAATAAAAAGCAAATTTTCTTCAACAATTAAATGAGACATACCAGTCAAATGTCTTTGATTATCATAGGAGAAATTATCAAAGGGTTGGCGAGTTGCAAACCTTGAAATTTGTGTTTGTCTTCCCTTGCCTTTGTCCGATTTCAAATATTCCGCCGGGTGCTTGGCCTTAAGATGCCTTGTGGCGCTCCCGTACCCTCCAGAAATTCCCAAATTATACTTTTTGTTGCAATGCTTGCAAGTGGCGTACCATATCTCGGTTTCGATGTCTTTAACTTTTGTAAAATTTGCCTTAAAGACAGATTCAGATTTCCCACCGGCTTGGGAAGAAGTAGCCACTTCCGCTTCCTCTTCCTCATCATCCGGTGTGCCATGAACCTCGTCCTCGACCGTTCGCGGATCCCTCTCCTCCGCATCATCATCCTCAAGCTTTTCTTCGTCAATGGTTTGCGGGATGTCTTGTTGATGAAAAAAACCTTCTTGATTTTGTTTCAATAGTTGTTCTAGTTGCTCATCGGACATCGCATACCCATATCTTTGGTTGTAATCCGCATCAAAATCATCTCGGGTTTGAGATGAAGACCCCGGCCCTCTCTTACCTTTGTGTGACCTTGGATGATTCCTCGCAATCTCCTTTGTTCGGTTGCGGCGGAGGTTACCCATATCTACAGAAGCTCTACCATGCTCCATATTAAAAATATAACAAGTATTAAATTCGAATAACAATTAAGCAATTAATTTCGAATTAACTAGTTTACCAATTAACTAAAATTCGAACTATTTGTTTTACAATCTAACAACTTTATTTAACAATTTTCACAATTAACTAGTTTTTATAGAGATGAATAAATGTAACAATTAACTACTACGATAAGAGATTAATAAATGGACCATTTAACTAGTTTAAGAATTAAAAAATTAATTTCGAATTAACTAGTTTACCAATTAACTAGTTTTTATAGGAGATTAATAAATGTAACAATTAACTACTATGATAAGAGATTAATAAATGTAACAAACTAACAATTAACTAGTTTTTTATAGGAGATTAATAAATGTAACAATTAACTACTATGATAAGAGATTAATAAATGAACCAATTAACTAGTTTAAGAATTAAACAATTTATTTCGAATTGACTAGTTTACCAATTAACTAGTTTTTATAGGAGATTAATAAATGTAACAATTAACTACTATATATGATAAGAGATTAATAAATGTAACAAACTAATAATTAACTAGTTTAACAATTAAACAATTAATTTCGAGTTAACTAGTTTACCGATTAACTGGTTTTTATAGGAGATTAATAAATGTAACAACTAACTACTATGATAAGAGATTAATAAATGTAACAATTAACTAATTTAACAATTAAATAATTAAAATCGAATTAACAAAATTCGAACTATTTGTTTTACGATCTAACAACTTTATTTAACAAGTTTAACAATTAACTAGTTTTTATAGGAGAATAATAAATGTAACAATTAACTACTATGATAGGAAATTAATAAATGTAACAATTAGATAATAAGTGTATAAGTAGATATACTTAATATATATATATATATATATATATATATATATATATATATATATATAAGTAGATAATAAGTAGATTAACTAGTAATATATAATATTATGTTTATAGTATATATAATATAAGTATATTACTATAAGATTAGTAATACACTTATATATAATACTTTAATATATATAAGTATATATTAAGTATATCTAAAATGTAAATATAAGTAAATAAATTAGAGATGATTATATATGTAAATATAATATAATATATGTAGTTATAAATTTGAGAAGATGAAGATGGAGAAGATTAGTAGAGAATAGAGATTAGAGAGTAGGAGTATTTGGAGAAGATGTGTAGTAAATTGTATAGAAAAAATGGAGTATTTATAGTTTTTTTGTACCCTCACCCCCCCACCCCCACCCCCCAACCCACCCCGGGACCCCAGGAAGGCTCCCAACGGCTATATAGCCGTTTGGGTTCAATCACAATGGCTTTAAGGCCTGTTTGGATGGCCAAAAGAATTTAAAAAAAACTAGCCGTTGGCCCGAACCGGCCGGGCCTACAATTTCCAGAACCGTGCCCGAACCGCTCCCCTCCCCCGGGCCGGTTCAACGCCCGAACCTCCCTATCCTTAACCGGGCCGGGCCGGGCCTGCACAGTGGCGGGCCAGGCCGGTTCAAGGCCGGTCCGGCCCGGTTTGGTCCATCCCTACTATGAACTACCCTCCAAAGTCCCAAGACAGTTAAATCCGGATCTGATCACAGTCAGTCTCGTCAGTACTGGCTCCAAAGGACAAATCCAGTAGGACTTACATCACCTTTGAGGCTGCTCCTCCCACCACATGAAATCTTCCTGTGTTTTTTATAATCGACAACGGATAATATTAATAGGAGTATAATGTCACTTCTACCCTTCTAGAGTTGCCTAACTAGCCGGGCTAGCTCACTCTATTCTAACGTGGATTCGTGGGATGTGTGTTCTCAAGATGAACGGGAACCTCCCTAAAAGAAAATTGGGATTTTTATAACCCCTAGTCCAGACCACATTCTCCCTATAACGTAGGGCTTCACCGATTAACATGTGGGCCATAACTAGGGTTGGCAATTTAACCCGACCCGATGGATACCCGCACCGAACCGAACCGGTCAAACTGGGGAAAACCGCTTTGACTGGGTAACGGGTACGGGGCGGGGAATACCCGATTTATGTAAACGGGTAATGGGGCGGTTATGGGTTTATACCTACCCGCCCCGTTTAATTTGGATACAGTTACCCGCACCATTACCTGACCCGCACAATTAACTTACATATTTTAATAGTTTA